AAGGAAGGAAGGGAAGATGGAAGGAAGGCTCACTAGGTGACAAGTTCAAAGTTCTGTAGGTAAGTGATACAGCCCCTGGTTTCTCAAGGATGGGCCCTGGCTTGGGTCTCTTACAGATCAATTAATGCTTGTAATTTACTCTCATAAGGATCCTGGCTCAGTGGTTGAGCGTCGACCTATGAACCAGGAGATCGCGGTTTGATTCCTGGTCTCTCTCTCCCTCTCCATCATCATAACTCACATGGTGCGTGATCTCTAGAGCGGTGGTTTACAGTTTGAGGTACTTGGCCTCTGAGAAGGGCCCAGGACTGTCACACCGTGAGACAGACGACACAGGCGTTGGCACTCCCGTCGCAGCCCCGAGGGCGGCGGCTGTCATGGCTAACGTTCCTCTTGGTGGGAGGACCCCTCACGTCGAGGCCCAGCGCTCCCGTCTGCACTCCAGCTGCTCCCAACAAGGTTAATTATATTCCCGCGTCACCTGGAGAAGGAACCCTAAAACCTCTTCTGGGGAGAGACCCTTTGCAAAGCGAGCTGATGCGCGCACCCCATCACCCTGACCCTCTTTAGCAGACTCAGTGAACGGCACATTAATCCCGCCTCTTGCTTCTCCTTACCAGGCAGTCAGTGGCTGCTGCGCAGCTGCAAACACACAGGTAGCGACGTCCCACGTGGCCCGCCAATCAAAACCACACGCTTAACGAGCCTGTCTTTGCACATGAAAATCACACTGAGCTCCAGTGTGCACAGAACATACTGACACATGGAGAGAACATACACAAAACGCACGATGGGAATACGTAAAAGTGAATTGAGAGATGGTACAAATTAATCAAAAGCAAGTGATAAGTAACTGGCATCAAGTTTGTCTAAGCATGATTATCAGAGAAGTACAACAAGATGGATCAACTTGCACATTTTGTGGAGAAATGTAAGGAATGGACTTAGATTGACAATTTTTTTAAAAAAAATGTGTTTATTGATTTTAGAGAGAAAGGAAGGGAGAGGGAGAGAAACATTGATGTGAGAGAGCAACATCGTTGGGCTGCCTCCTGCACGCCTCCTCCTGGGGACCGAGCCCACCACCCAGGCAAGTGCCCTTGACCTGGAATTGACCCTGTGACCTTTTGTGTAATGGGGCGACGCTCAACCCACTGAGCCACACTGACCAGGGCGCAGTTTTTATTCAAGCAGCTCAAAATCCGTCCCCTCTCACTTGGAAATGGTATAAGCCGAGATGATCCATATACAGATCATTGCGCATAATAGTCTTTGCCGAAATGTTGTGTTTTTACAGGAGAAATTAGATCCTGCTATTTAAAGTCTGGAAATCAGAAAGATGGCCCCGCTCCGCCCCAGCCACCAAGTCACGACGGTCTCTCTCCGGCCGGGTGAGTGCGCTCTGCGTTCAGGGCTGGGAGCTGTCCCGTGGCTGCTTCTGACTGTAGCCGAGGTGACGGTGTGGATGTGCATGGCCACTGGTAGGTGCCAACGTGCGTGGGTTTCGTGTGAAAGAAAAGGAAAACCTAGTCCGGCCCCGGCGTGGCCCGGTGGTTGAGCGCCGACCTATGAACCAGGAGGTCAGGGTTCGATTCCCCGTCACGGCACACGCCCGGGTTGAGGTTAGCTGGCAGGGCAGGGACTCACGTTCCCAATGACCTCGGAGAGCAGAGACCGTGACCTCGGGCAGGTGGGGGCCCTTCGGAGCACGCTCACGGCTCACTTTCTGGGGTTTTAAGGTGGTTAAGTGCCTTCTGTCCTCCCTGCTAACTTGTGTCCCAGCATTTTGGCCTCTACAGTGTTTTCACTCGTACAGGAGGCACTTTAATATTATAATCCCTGGACCTGGCTGGTGTGGCT